ATACCACAGCTTTTTTATCCACTCATCTATTGAAGGGCATATGGACTGTTTCTAGATCTTAGCTATTGCAAATTGTGCTGCTATGAACATAGGGGTGCATACATCGTTTCTGATTGGTGTTTGGGGTTCCTTAGCATATATCCCCAGAAGTGGGATCACTGTGATCACAGTTCCATCTTAAATTTTTTGGGGAAACTCCATACTGTGTTCCATCATGGCTGCACCAGCCTGCATCCCCCCAGCAGAGTAGGCGGGTTCCCTTTGCTCCACATACTCACCACTTGTCATTTGTTGATTTGTTGGTGGCAGCCATTCTGACAGGTGTGAGCTGATACCTCATTGTCCTTTTAATTAGCATCTCTCTGATGGTCAGTGACATTGAGCTTTTTTCGTATGTCTCTTGGCCATCTGTATGTTCCCTTTGGAGAAGGGTGTATTTAGGTCCTTTACCCATTTCTTAATAGGATTGTTTGTCTTCCCTTGGTTAAGTTTTATGGGTTGCTTATACATTTTGGATATTAACCCTCTATCACATGGATCCTTGCCAAATATGTCCTCCCCTACTGTGGGCTCCCTTTTCATTTTGTTGATGGTTTCTTTTGTTGTGCAGACATTTTTTTATTTTGATGCATTCCCATTTGTTTATTTTCTCCTTAGTTTCCTTTGTCCTGGGAGATCTGTAAACACATTGTTTTGAGAGATGTCTGAGATTTTGCTTCCTATGGTTTCTTCTAGGACTTTTATGGTCTTTTAACCATTTTGAGTTTAATCCTGTATATGGTGCATGTTCGTGTAATGTTTTGGTGTTTTTTTTGCATGTTTATCTGTCTAATTTTCCCAACAATATTTATTGAAGGGACTGTTGTGACTCCATTGTATGTTCTTGCCTCCTTTGTCAAATATTAATTGAGCATAATGTCTTGGGTAGATTTCTGGTTTCTCTGTTCTGTTCCATTGATGTATATACCTGTTCTTGTGCCAGTACTAGGCTGTTCTGAGTACAGTGGCTTTATATTATAACTTGATATCTAATATGGTGATCCCTCCACCTTTGTTTTTATTTCTCAAGATTGCTGTGGCTATGCAGGGTCTTTTGTGGTTCCATATAAATTTGTGAAATATTCGCTCTAGCTCTGTGAAATATGCCATTGATATATTTTTTAAAATTAAATCTTTATTGTTCCGATTATTACATTTGTTCCTCTTTTTTCCCACCATAACTCCCCTCTACCCAGTTCCCACCCCACCCTCCTCCCTCACTCCCTACCCACTGTCCTCATCCATAGGTGCATGATTTTTGTTCCGTCTCTTCCTGCATCCCCCACACTCCTTCCCCC